GTACCCTGTTCCTCCTCTGTGTGCTCAATATCACTCAGAAGGAGCTCTGTTCACTGGGTCCCACTTTGATAACTTGGAAGCAGAGATGAATGGCTCTCTAAAAGCAACCTGTGGGTCATGATCCCTTTGAAGTCACATATCAGACACTTACAATTCATAACAGTAGCAAAATTAGTTATGAAGTAGCAACGAAAATAATTTTACAGCCGGAGATTATCATAAGGAACTATATTAGGGGGTGTCAGAGAAGGTTAAGGAGAACCACTGCTCTAGAGGATTTGTTCTGAAGGCCCCGGAAAGAGTAAAGTTACAATGACAAAGTAGCATAGACTGTGTTCTTCATTCTGTATATTCTATGTTCTATATATTCTATAGAAACTTCCTAACGTCAGGCCTGGTGGTGGAGCTCTGTCTTCCCAGCTACTCAGAAAGAGGAACCAAAAAGATCCCAAGTTAGTTCAAAAATAGCCTAGGCTAGTGAAGGAGTTTAAGGTCAGCCTGAGCAACTTAGTCTGGAAAAAAAAAAAAAAAAGAAAAAGCAGGGCAGGTATATGACTCACTGGTAGGACACCAGTCTAGCATGTGTAAAACCAGTGTTCAAGCCTCAAGCATTGCAAATAAAAATGAAAACTTTCTGAGGGCTGAAACCATCAAAAAGTGGTGTTCAATCCCCTCTCACAGGCCCCACTGGGTGACTACAGGAAGATTCCCTTCGGAAGTTGTACGGGGCTATCGGGAATGTAGCTCAGTCGACTTTGCCTGGTTTTGCTAAGGCCACAGGTTCAGTTCTCAGTACAGTCAGAAACCACACAGTAGGATCTAAGCAGGCAGAGAACCTTCGGGAAAGCGGGTTGTGCTCTCTAAACCTTCTGCTCAGTGACAGCCTCACTGTCCTATGTAAAAAGGAAAAGATGGGTGGGAGTGGTCAGATGAAATGTGAGGTCACTCTACTAAATGTTCTCTCCAGCTCAATCTCTCTGTCTCTCTCACACACTCACTTACTCTCACACACACTCCCACGAACACTCACACACACCCCATGTGGAAACCTGCCTTAATATACATCTTTTCTCCTGTTAACTTTCTTCTTCTCTTTTATTATTTTGAGATGGAGCCCCAACTCTGTAGTCCAGATTGTCCTCAAACTCCCAGAAATCCTCCTGCCTTAGCCTCTTTAGTGCTGGGATCACAAATAAGGGCTAACACATCCAGTTTTATTTTATCTTGATTAAATGCACTAACAATAATTAATAATGGCTACAGATGGGTTCATTAACATACTTATGGATATTTCAGTAATATGGTTAGGGTAGCAATGCCAAATGCATATAAACCTAACCTCATTAAAATCTGCTTTTGTGTTGATTTTGTGAAACAGGGTCCCATGTAGCCCAGGCTGCTCCTGAACTGTAGCTGAGGATAGCTTTGAACTCCTAGTCTTCCTGCCTCTGCTCCTCAGTACTGGGATCATCAGAGTACACCACGTGTGGCTTGGTTCTGTTTTCTAAATTTTACAGATGGATGGAAAAAGTGGTACACGTGAAGGTATTTATGCTTTAAGTCCTCTCTGGCACAGAGATGCTGACGTGACAATTACACTCGGCTCACAGCCTGCCTCCCCGTCATCCGTCGCTCAGTTTCTACACAACACTGCTCAGGAAACAGGTCTCAGGAGCGGCTTGCACTACAGTCGCTCTGCAGAACAGCTGCAGCATCAGATCCGAGCTGCAGAGCACTCAGGGTCAGAGACCATCAAACCAATTTACCCTTGAAGTTGGGAGACATTTGAATTCCAATCGCATGGTTACGGCTCCTTAAAAACGGTCAGAGCTAAATGCAATTGGCAAGGAAAAGCAACTCCTGAGTCACCAATTTCAAAGGTAAACCTAGGAACTATAAACCCATATAAGGAGGTTCACTGTACACAAGCTTACAATACACGGAATCTAGCAGCACTCGTAATCATGGGAAATATAAGCCATTCTGGCCAGACAGACAGTTTTATTGCTCTAATACATGTATTTTAAACAATAAAGAAACAAAAGGGGCTGGCAAGATGGCTCAGTAGGTAAAGGTACTCACTGCCAACCCTGAGTTCAGTCCCAGGAGCCCATGTGATGAGAGAAGAGAATCAACTTCTACAAGTTGCCTTCTGATCTATACAAACACCATGCCATGTAGACACAGACAGACAGACAGACAGACACACACACACACACACACACAAAATAATAAAAGATAAAATGAAAAAAGAGAGAAAGAAACTGATAGTTTTGGAGCCAAAAGGAAATGTGCTATACTTTACCCAAACTCACCTTGGAACTAGAGAATGCCTCCTCGAGGTTCTCACCCCTCCTCCTCACCCAAAAAGGAAATGCAGGTTCAGGAAGAGAATCTAGGTCTTGGGTCTTTGTATTCTACAAGGCTTGACTTCATATTTCATTCAAGAAAACAAGTATAGTCCAAGTTTTCTTAAAATTCATTGTGTCTTTGTAGAGACACATATGTGAAACTACCTCCACATTGAGATCAGAAGTTTAAAGACAATTCAAGCTTTCCTAAAGCTGAGTTTAACAAGTACTGCTGGGGCAAAGGGTGAGGGGCAGACCATGTGAACAGAAGCACAGCTGTGAGGCCTGTGCACGGCATCGTCAAGCCAGTTTCAATTGCCAGATAATAATGATTTGTACTAACACCTCTTCAATTTCAGAAAGAGACCTTCAAGTGTCTAACCAACTGTCCTTTTTATCTCGGAGAAGATTCCCCAAGCTCTGGAAAGGTGACTAAGCTTAGGTATCAAAGAGCCCATGCAAAATCATACGGGGAGAGGGGTTGCACCTTCCAGACGTACATTCCAAAGCTTTGACCATGATGATAATCCCAGTAATGAGGCTAAAAGTTACAGAGCACTAAAGCAAATGCTCCTGAGGAAAGCCTAACGTTTTACAATAACAAAACCACGTTCTAAAAAAAATATACATTCAAGCCAGACAGTGCAACTCTCAGCCCGTACTCCCAGGCGGAAGCTCCACCCCCACACCCTAACTGGATACTGTGTTGCGCTCTCTCCATCCTCCGGAGCAAATGTCTACTGGGCTTCTTATGCAAGTTCACCTCACCCCATCTATAGGTAGCATGTGGGTACTGAGGAAAGCCTTTCCTGTTTTCTTATGTTCCCCAGACATCTACCCAGCCGGGTTTTTTCCTCCCTTCAGCTATTTATGAATATACTTTAACTTAGAACACACAAATTTAACATGTCATATTTTAAGCCAAGCAAGCCACGAGAAATAACCATAAAGCCAAATTCCAATTTCTTCAGCTAATAAGTCTGCCTACCAGGACGAGACTTGGGCTAGCTGTGAGGTTACTTGTAGAACAAAAGTACTGAACAAGAACTGGGGTGTGACAGAGAGCACCTGTCAGTCATCCAAGCCACTCATGAGGCAGGAGGACCCCAAGTTCGAAGCCTGTTTGAGCTACCGGGTGAGGTCAGCCTAGGGAGCTTAGTGAGACTCTTTCAAGATAATCATAAACGGCTGACTGCTTTGACATAACAGTGAGGCTGGGAATGTAGCTTAGTGGTAGGGTGCTTGTCCACCAAACCCAAGCTTTAGGTTTAATCCCCAAATCTGACTCCCTCAAAAAAAAAAAAAACTAAACTCAGAAGTAAGAATCTGCTGTGCCACTGGATCAGTTAACTAGCGACTCTAGCTTAATGACTGACTGTACTACTCATTAAAGAGTCGTGCTGGGAAAAGACGAACCAGATCTCACCAGGGGAGAAGGAAACGCAGAAGTCCGTGACACAATCCTCAGTATGACTCAGGTAGACGCACTCGCTACAGATCTTCCTCAAATGCTGTCGGTCAACCCTTAGGCATGAACAGCCCTGCATGCGCCCAAAACTGACGATAGATTGTTCTTCCCCACCACCACCCCCCACCCCACTCCACCTCGCAATAGATACCATCTCTGCCTGTTCCGGAAACCTCTAAACTAAATCCAGCCATCGGTAAACAGCACGTAAAAATCCTCGCAGCCGTAATCACCAAACCCACCCAAAAATCTCTACATTCTCCAGAGAGTCAAAACGCGAAGCAGAGCAGAGTAACGATCGATCAACCTTCGGGTGCTAGAGATCAAAGCCCACTTTCCATATTTGAAAAAAATAAATACATAAAACCAGTTTAAACCTTACAGGGTAGTACTATGTTTCAAACAAAGCAGCAGTTTGGGATAGTTTCTTCCTTTTATTCCAATTTGTTAAGACGTTAAATAAATAAATAAATCCCAGCCAGCTTAGACTGCAGACGCAGGAAACTCAAGCGGGCAGCGGACTAAATGCCTGTCATAAGAAAGCCATCTAGTGTTAAAGTTTAGAAGTGAAACCGCAGACAAAAGGAACATTTCTGGGACTATTTTGAAGTTACTGGGAAAACCAATGAGAATAACCAAGACGCCCCGTTTTCTGGTGATGACTTGGGTTTCGGGGTGTCTTTCATTCTGCTTTTCCCCTTCGCTGTTTGGCCTTCTTTCTTAAAGTCATCCTTGCGCAGACCGAGGCAAAGCAGAACCCAAAGCTAAGACCTGTTCTGACCAAAAATCAGGTATCGCCGAGCCCCAATTCATGAGGGCGCACTTGCGGTCCGTTCGCCCGTGCTGACGTTGGCCGGGACTGAATTAATGTAGCCGAAGCCGGCTAATGACGACAAACGTCTCCCCGCCGAGGGGTGACGCCAAGTTGTCCTCGGCTCTCGCTCTCGGGGAGACGAGCCGAAATTGATTCTCCGGGTTCTGCGACCAGGCTCAAATGAATGTGCCGGCGCTGCCGGTCGCTCCCCGACCGCGGTCCTCACCCGCGGACACGCGAGCCCGCGCGTACAAAGGAGCGGGAGCCCCGGGGGAGCGGCCCGCAAGTTGCGCGCAGCCGGGCAGGTCCGCTCCCCGCGCCCCGCTCCCCGCGCCGGCGGACGCACCCCGCACCCCCCGGCACGCACCTCGGAGCGGCGGTCCTCTGGGCTCCTCCAGGGCCGGCGCGCAGAAGCCGGGGCCTCGCCGCCCGCCGCCGTCCCGCGCTACCCATGGGCGCGCTCCCCGCGCGGCCGCTGCGCCCGCGGCTCGAGCTGTCGCCAGGCGCCGCGCTGCGTCCTCGGCCGCCCGGCTCCGTCTGCAGCCGGCTCCCGCCGCCGCCCGCCCCCCCCGGCACCGCCCCCCCCCGCGCCGCCCCCCCCTATTGGTCGGTGCCCCGATAGGCCCCACCCCGAGCGCTCCGCCCCCTCTCATTGGCCGGTGTCCGGACAGTCCCCGCCCCTAGAGCTCCGCCCACGCCCATTGGCCAACTGGACAAGCCCCGCCCCGAGCGCTCCGCCCACGCCCATTGGCGCGCCTCCCGGACAGACTCGCCCTTCGCCGTCGGGCGCGCGCCAGCGTCCTAGGAGAGCGATTCTCCTGGTCGCGGCGAGCGCGAGGCTTCGGCTTGCAGGAACCGGCGACCGTCTTCGAGTGCTCGCGACCCGGGGCACCCTCGGAGCGACCCGTGCTCTCTGGGTGTAGACTCTCAATCCTACATGCTCGCACCGTATCAGGACCCCTGAGAGTCGCCGCGGTCGAGCGAAGCCCGGGGGACGCACTTTACGCAAAAGTGCAAGCCGCAGTTTCGCGAGCCGGGGAGCCTGTGCCCGGTGCGATGCACGAGCGGGCCCACGCCTGCTCTCGGTGTTCCGGCCCTGTCTATCCCCCCGCCCCCCGGGAGCCTCACCTGCTGCCGGCTGCAGAAGACCAGCCTTGGGCTCTATTCTGACATGCACCGGCGGGAGGAGGAGTAAATAAGGCTGGAGCCGGTGACAGGATTTCCCGAGCCTGCTTCACCTTGCGTCCCCAGAGTCCCGATCTGGTTTGTTTGGGACTTTGAACTCCTCCCTGGAAGAGATAATGTTAATAATGTTATCTCTCCTTCCCTGTCGCAGTGCTTCCTACTACGCGCACACACCCTGGTGAAGTTTAAACAGTGGGTCCCCACCCAAGCTGTATTTCTCTGCGCGCACATTTGTCTAATCTCTTATATATCATTTTGTAATACAGGTGTAATGCGTAGGAATGGGCCTGGTAAAACATGCCAGCAACCTGTATATGACATTACGCTCCTGAGATTTCCAGGTTTTGAGATCTTTCTGGATGGTCTCCCTATACCTAGCGTTTTTGAGGTTGTGTATGCATTCCACAAACATGGAGCCTGATAAGCTCTGTGTTACTTGTGCTTCCTGGAAAGCCTTTTTACCAGCCCCTGCTCTGTTTCTTGGGGCGGGGCATAGGGGGTGCAGATTAAACCCAGGCAGAGATTGTGAGATACAGCGCCAGAGAGGAGGACAGGGCATGGTATGGGCTCGGGTATCTTACAGAAACAAATATAAAATGCCTCTTTGGGCAAAGATACGGAGATTGCTGAGATTTCAAAGAAAAATACCAACCATGAAGTATTCAACTGAGCTTGTCTAAAAGCCAATGTGAGCCAGATTCCTCAGCAGTTAAAAGCACTCCTTGCTTTTACCAAGGACCTGGCTGCTGTACCCAGCTTCCGGTGGCAGCTCATAACCATCTGTAACTCCAGTTCCAGAGGATCAGAGGCCCTCTTCTGGCCTCTCTGGCTATTGCAGTCATGCAGTGAACATACATGACTGCAAGCGATCTCTCAAGCACAAGCACATGAAAGCAAATGCGAGCTACCATCGGTTCATCATCTGTTACCATCCCCCAAGCCTCCCCCCCCCCCCCCACATCCTTTAAAGGCCTCATTATCCTGGGAATTCTTAAGGAAACGGGATCTAGGAACCCTTGCTCTGCAATTCTAAACATTTTTTTTTTCTTCTGATGAAGTAATTCCTACATCAGTCTTAAGAGTTCAAAGACCTGCCAGCCAGTCCAAGGAGTTGAACTGGTCAGCTAACCTTCCTGCTGCTTGCGTCTGTTTGCCTTTTAGCATAGTAAAGCCAGTTTTAATTTCCTTAACAAGCCACAAGATCCGACCTCCAAGGATACTTGCAGAGCAGTAAAGTTCAGTGGCTAACTTAGTGAAGATATAGAGCCTCACCTTTATTTCCTCCTCTCCCTTTCTACTATGACCTCCTTGTTAAAGCCTTTCTTTTTATACCTAACGAATAGTCATAATTTGCAACAAACAGATCTTGATTTTATACATAGTTCAGAGCCTGATGTTAGAACCAAAGGGCCGTTGCATCAGGACAAGGGGTAGTTTGAGAGCAGATAGGTGCTCTGGCACCCACAGGGAGAGCTGGTGTCTGCAGAACAACCTTGGGGAAGGCAGCAAAGGCCTTGCCAGAGCTGTCAGATGGGAAAGGAAAGAGAGCTGACGGTGTAGCTTGGCTGAAGTGCACTTGCCTGATGTGTATAAGGCTCGGAGTTCCACCTTTAGCTCCAGAAAACTAAAAGGAAAAAATAAAAACAGGAGGAGATAAAGAGACAGTGCCAGCAAGAGATGGCACGGGGCCAGTCTGGGAAGCAGCCATGCCCTCTGGCCTGCCACAGCGCCTCTGTTTATGCAATGCACACATGGATGTCACTGTCCTCTCTTAGTCCTGTTTGCTTGGGGTTGGATTTGTCTTACATGTGTCCAGACTATGGCTGTGCTTCCCCAGTCTACAGTAGTAGAAGCCTCTCCCAGCAGGATGTGGACATGTAAGTACAATAGCAAATGCCAGGACATGCAACATTTGGGTTTTTTGTTTGTTTGTTTGGTTGCTTGCTTGCTTTTCTTTGTTACTGTTGTTTTGAAACTAGGTATTTCTATGCAGTTCTGGCTGTCCTGAAGCTCACTGTGTAGACCACACTGGCCCTGAATTCACAAAGATCTGCCTGTCTCTGCCTCCCAAGTGCTGGGAGTAAAGCCATGCACCACCACACCTGGCAAAAATTTATCTATTTATGTCTATTTATGTATTTTGTGCTTATGGATGTTTTACCTGCATGTACAATTTACACACCAGAAGAGGGCATTAGATCCCACAGGACTACAGTTATAGGCAGTTGTGAGCTGCCCTGTGGGTGCTGGGAATTGAAGTAAGGTCCTCTGAAAGAGCATCGAGTGGTTGGAACCACTCAGCCACCTCTCCCGCTACAACAAGGTTTTAAGAAGTAGCTTCGGTAGCTGGAGAAATGGATCAGTAGGTAAAGCCTGTGGTACATGGGCTTGATGACCTAATTTTGATCCCCAGAACCCATGTAAAAATTGGAAAGAGAGAACTGACTTCACAAAGTTGTCTTCTGACATCTACAGGTATACAGAGCCCCCCCCATACCACACACACACACACACACACACACACACACATGGCTTCTGGCTCAGGACATGTGATATATCACTAGTCCTGACCGAAACAAGGCCTGTATTCCCTTGAAGTGAAAACCAAGAAAGCAGTGCATTATAGGGCCATGTCCATTGTATGACATAATGTATATACTGTCCCAGAAGTTCAAGAATGCCACCTGTTAAAAAAAAAAAAAACTCAGCTCTGTAGGCATCCATGGAAACCTGCTCTGCCCAGGCCACTCTGGGAACAACAGAAGAAAACAATTTTCTTTAAGTAAGGAGGCAACTGCCCTCAGGAAGAGAAAACATAGCTGGATTTCTGCAGGGAGCAGATTTAAGCTGTGAAAAGTTGTCATATTTAAAATGTCACTGTGAACCTAAAGTAGCATAGATCTCCACAGAGATCTGGAAAGATGAGTTGGGTAGAGTGACCAAACTTAAGGTAAAGTTGGGCATGACGGCCCACACCTGTAATCCTGGCACTTGGGAGACCAAGGCAGGAAGATTGCTGCAAGCTCTAGGCCAGCCTGGACTACATAGTTAGTTGCAGGCATGCCTGGGCTACTACTTAAGATCCTGTTTTAAAAACAAACAAACAAAAAAAAAACCTTATTGACAGGAACCTTACAGCAGACAAAGTGTTTCCTGATCTTAACTGTATGTTTCACAGATGAGGAGTCTGATATGTTGGTCTGTGTGCCCAACCCCATGAACCTCTAAGATTTCCAGGATAGTGGATGATTTCTTTTCTGGTGATTTAACCTCTTGGCCAAAGCTACTTACAATGCCTACTCCAATGTCTTTCAGCCAGGCCTTCAACAAAACAAGGAGGCCAACTGTCCTAAAAGGTGTTTCAGGTCCCATTGCCTCTGTATAAGGAGAGAGAAAGGAGGAACAGAAGTCACACATCAACCCAGAAGTTTCCTCAGAGTTTAGAAGCTTCCAGATACTCGAGTCAGAGGACTGGGTCTAGTTTGGAAGTGTGCGTAGCTACATAAGTAACATCTTATGTATGTGTGTAGCTAGATACATAATAACACCTTAAAATTCCATTTCTCATCTAAATAGCTAAGATGGATGATAAGGAGAGCAGAGGTGGGTGAGGCCTTTAAGTACAGAAAACAGGGCGGGAGCCCTGTTCAACATTTCCACCGATCGACTCAAGGCCAAGAAGTCGGTGACTGAGAGACAGCTCATGAACGCATTGCATAAAGACAACGGGACTGCTTCTCCTACTTCACACCAGAGCAGACTTCAGGGTCACACCTTCATCCTCTGAGTGTGTTCCTAATTGGGCAGACTGCTCCTTAGCCAGCACCTTTTACTTTGTTTTTACAAAATGAGCTACAACAATGCATTGTAAGTTGGACTGATCTGTGAGCAGCTGTTATTTTTCACCACTAGATGGCGTCTACCAATAGTGAGGTTCAGGAGCTGCACACGCATTCTGCCAAGCAATAATTCTTGAGAGATCAATACAAGAAAACATTTATAACCATTTATATACGTGTGTATTCACTTCTTAAGTGTGATTTCTTTTTGATACTGGCTATGAATCTACAGCCGCCTGTCAGTTGGTAAACCAAGGAGGTCCTCAATAACATTTTAAAGTTGTTAATTGAATACCAAACAACTCTGGGGCCATGTGGGATAGCTGCTGTGTAATCCTGGTGACTAGAGTTAGATCCCTGGAACCCAGAGTGTAAGGAGAAAACAGATGCTTTCCATTAGACACCTCACA